CACCGGAGGCCACTTAACTACTCGATACGAGCCAGCAATGCGTGCACTGCGGCGTGTGCGTACCTACGCAATTGGCCAATAAACGTCGCCGCAGCATTAGACAATAGCACCCCGCCAAGTGCGGAGTACTAACGGCACACGACGTGCCGTTTTCGAGGGCCACGTGCGAGTAACTGCGAACTAACGTCATTACCATCGCGCAAATGGTACATATACTGGTAAAGCTCCATCGAAATGCAGGAGGCACGTTGTAACATATGTATATATACCGGATATGTAATATCTGACAAAATATTATTCGACGATAGTAATTGTGTTTTTATTTGCAATTGCATTTTTATTTGTGCGACGATATTTTTATACGTTTTGTAGTCTGAAAATAACAAACTTGTTATGTAAACATCTGTGAAATCTCAAGCGAAAAAAATATTTAGAGAAATTATCATTATAAAGAAATAATTTGCTGAACTACATTTTATAATTTTCATGTATTTTCACAGAGCATATGTGCTTGAAAAGAATATTGTAATCCTATAATCCATGTAGTTTTATATTTATATATATATTTTTGTGTGTTTCTATCGTATTTGATTCGAGAAGAAAAGTCTGTTGTACAAATCATACACATTATGAAAAGTTATAGCTTTACAATTATAATTCTCTATTTTCATCGAGAGATGCTGAATAGATTTATTCAGAAAATAATGATAGAAGTTGAAAACAAAAGTTTCATTCTCTCGTTCGCTTCTCATAATGCCTTTTTTATTGCGTTTATTAGTGTCAATCATATTTTTTTTCTCAATTATCGTAATATCGAATATTTCATATATTCGTTTCTTTTAAATTGTATGATGTATTTAAAAGTATTGTACAGCACGGCACTTTAACAAATAATTTTTCCAGATTCTCTTTTCCGATTAATTCCAGATGTATATGTAAATATGTTATTTTTAAACTACAAATCCTAATAAATTCGATATTTTAAAAAAATATTTTCATAAAAATATTGCATAATTTTTTTAAATAACAAATTACTATTATTTTTATTTGAAGAGGATATGAGAAAATCTAAAATTTGTTATAAACGTGAGACTTAAATTTTTAACGAGGTATCATGATACAATGTAGTAGACTCAAATCACATCTAGTCTCTTATCTGCACTCAAGTGGATGTATACCTTCGTGCTTAGCTTTGCTGTATGCCATGTGATAATGTGATGAGAAATGAAGATTAAATAGAGAGAAGCAGGTCTGTGCAACCATTAATACACCGGCTTGCCAAGGAAGAGAAACAGAATTAGATAAATGGCACTGACAACTGACGAATAAAATTGTTATATTTAAATAATAAATGAAAGAAAATAGGATTAATCGGAAATGACATGAGATGTCAAAAGATATATATATACTTGTAGAAAGATAGCAGGAAATATCGAGAGCACGTAAATGGATGAATGCAATAAGAGAGTTACAAATATGTCTATTAATGTTGCAAATACTTCTTTGTTATATCGTACTTTACAAGGATATATATTATTATATTCATACGTGATCGACTTTCGCGAAATATGACAATTTGATAGAAATAGCAATTCCGATAACAAACGTCAAAAATAAAAGTAGGAATTGTGAAGAGATTGACACGTCATAAAGAATGCAGTTTTTTCATTTCAATTCCCTTTTTTATACAGAGAGGTTAAATGTCGCGCTGGATGACACCTGAGGATTATCATCCCTCAGATCTGAAAGCAAATTCGTGTCACGAGAAACGCTTTTAGAAATACGAAATCCTCAAAATATTGATCGAAAGCGTTCCGGACATTCATTGTATGTGGCATTGGTTATAATTCGCATGCGCACATTTAAAATACACGTCCAAGTAACTTTACGATGAATAAATCAATCTCGCGCGCGATGCAATAGATGCCATCCATTGATTTCTTTTTTCGTCGACATATTATGTCGACGAGATATCAAGGTGAAATATCGGAAAAATATGTCGCGCTTGATGTATTATGTTTCCGACTATTATTCCGTTTTTTGCTTCCGCGTGTCTCGAAGGCAATTGTGTATATTTGCATAAAGGGAAAAAAATCCAAAAAGTAGGTCATGCCACATAGGAGAGCGAGAGGGAATATTTGCAACCGTGTTGTCCGTAGGGAAGTGTCTTAACAAAAAGTCTAATAGTCTCTCCCTCTCCCTTTCTTTCTCTCTCTCTCTCTCTCTCTCTTGCACGTGTTCTGTATCATGTCACCGGCTATAGAATTCCTTCTCAACAATAGCCAAGTGTCGGCATGCGGTGTGTGATGTCTTATCGCAATATCAAGCGCGATAAAAGTTTTCATCTCTGGGGCAACACCGAGAGAATGCGGTGGATTTAAACATTTTTATCCCGTCTTGACTTGATTCCGACATTAATTGTACTTACATCAGAGATGTTACCTCCAGATACGCCATATTTTATCGCTTTAGTAACCGGTGAGCTTTATGCGTTTTCATTAATAATCGAGAATACCAGGACAAATTATAGAACATTCTTCTTATATTTTAATTTTACTTGAATTAATCTCGAGTACAAGGACTCTCTTCTCCGATCTTATTAAAACTCGCATATTTTCAAGAGATTGAATCTGTTGAAAAAAAATGTTATTTTTATAAACGAATATTTTTCTTGAAAATATTTAGTTGATAAAAAAATCTGTATCAAATTCTTATCAAATATTTTATACGTCAATCTGTATGTATATCGCACAAGAAAGTCCTTCATTTTTCAAACACGATACAATGGTTCACGTAGCAAATCCAAATTTCAAAAATAGCATATTTTGCAAAATTAAAATAATTTTTTATTTTTTATTTATTGCATATTTTAAATATTAATCACGTTAAGTAACTAATTAATATCATGTTAATTTATTTATGCAAGAAAAATAATGATCATTGTCATGATATTTATATAGAATAATAATTCTTTAATATAATTTATTTTTTGATGAAAACAGCTGAGAAACGAAATAAATGCTAAATATATCGTTTAAACATACCTTCTTTTTTATAAGATTTCTCTCTAACGTAAGTTACACGCGTATTTCTTTTGGTTTCAATTTCCGCGGAAATTGTTGTATTCGATATGTATTCGCATGTATTTTAACATCGTCACATTTCTAAACAACACACGATCAGCGCGCACATCATACATACGCACACAATTCTGTCGCACTACCGTGTATGTAAACAAAGCGACCGTTCGTTTCCGAGAATTCTCCGCCTCTTTTTTTTGAACGCGGTCTCTTCATATTTTTCGAGAAAATTTCTTTCGCTTTTCTCGTATTGTTTGGATCGTTATTTTTCACTCGCGCGTTAATGTCAAACGTTTGTATTCACCATTTAATTAATTTAATGTCGCGTTTAATGGATGAATTAATGATCGAATAATTGTCATTTGTAACAATTATATTGAATTCCAAATTTGTAATACAAACTCGAATTCAGAAATCGATCACATACGAGGTCAAAAGTTGACAAGTTTAACACGAGACGTAAAGATTTAATCGCGATCATAAGAGAGTTTTAAGTTATTGCAAAATAAATAATAAAGTCTGCAAATAAATATGTAATCGGGAAAATATCAGTTGTATTATATGCAATGTATCGTGCAAACATGCGACAATTTTATTCAAATGATATGTACGCGGCCATGATTCCAAGTATCGTTGAACGTATTAATAAAATTGTTAAAGCTGAATATCACATTTATAAAAAAATTTATAGTATCGAGAAAAGTCGAGAAAATATCGGACAACTATAATATTAGCAGATGACAGTACATTGCATAAATGTTGGAAATATGTGACAATTTCATCAAATAAACTCCACGCGACCGTAACTCCAAACATTATTAAGTAGATTAATAAAATTACTAGGCTATTAAGTTACTGAGAGTAAATATATTTTGCAAATAAGTGTATAGTACTTGAGAATATTTAGAAAAATCGGACGATTAAAAATGTATGAATTTTTATGAACATTTTGTATATTTTATGTTAGAATTATGAGAAAACATTTATATACAGTTATGACATTTATATTTCTATTTTTTAATACTTTCTCAATGCGTTATTCGATTTTATAAATATAAAGATTTAAATAGACATCACGAAAGATATATAAGTTTCATAAAAATTGATTTTTCCAAATTTATTTTAATCGAATAAAAGGAATAAAGAGATATAGATTCTTCAATGGATTCTATAAATGCTTTAACATTATAGCTTTTTCGAGTTTAACATTCTGAAATTATCTAACAATTATTTTTTTATACAAAAACATGGTACATTCTCTCTTACAACAAATATCAGAAATAAAAACACTAATGATTCTTTATTTTCGCATTCTTCTAATGATTCAAAACATTTTTATTATTCGCACTTCTGACAGTATTGATAAATGTCAATTTTTTAAATTCTAATTTTCGATAATTTAAAAAATTTCAAACACATCGATATCAAACGAAACACTGATATTTTATAAAAAAGAAACATCGATGTTTTCCTTGATATACCAAGCAATACACCTCGATATCTTTTCCCATTAATACTTACCTCGAGACATATATATAGAACGTATATAAGACATCGATATATCGGCGAAAGCCAATCTAAACTGTTACCGATGAGAAGCGTGGTTTAACGACACTCGTAGCCGCGGTCCGCTTCGATTTTAATTCTCGTATCGCACATATACAGACACACACACACACAGATGCAATAAAAACATACACACGTACCATCGGCGTCGCGCCGGCCGGCTGGCGGAGAGGAGCCGTCAGAGAGATTGGACGTGCGCGCGCAGCCGGTAAGATCAACTACGAAGCACCGAGCGAGCATGCCTGTCGTCCCCCTCTCCTCTCCTCTCCTCGCGCTCCTACCCCCACCCCGGCGCCTCGCCACGACTTGCGCCGCGCCGGAATCGAGTCGGTCAATACTCCGGACAACGCGGCGGTGAGAGCACGACGGTCGGCTGTGCCCACGCCGCTCGCGCTTCGCGTCATCCAGAAACGTTTTCTCCTCGCGTTTGACGCGTCCTCTCTTTCTCTTTCTCTCTCTCTCTCCCTCTCCCTCTCGTCTCGCACGCGTAATCACGCAGTCATCGCGCTCCGACGTTGCATCTGTCCGTCGCAGGCGCCGGTAGTGCGTCTCGTCCCCGTGTCACCGTGAACGTAGCAGTGGACGCGAGCGACGTAACGCGAGACCGTATATACACACGTATACACGCGGACGACAGGAGTGCGTAACGCGGTGTGCATATCTACGCACGCGTAGACGCGAGACTACGTCTCCGCAGGGAGGAGCGCGCGAGGGGGCGGCGCGCGCGCCCGCCGAGCAGCGTCGTCGTCGTCGTCCTCGTCGTCCTTTATCGCTCCGGTTGCTCTTACTCGCTCGTTAGTGTGCGGGGCACCTGCGTGTGAGAACGTTGGCTACGCGGGTACGATGTGAGATAAGTGCGCGGCAGGACGACTCCCGTCGACAGAGACGAGCAGAGTGAAGGTCGCGCAGGACGACTGGCCCGCGAATTCGAAAACGATCTTTCGGTGAGTGCGTTTCGCGAACATCGCAGCGGACGGGAGCGCGATACACATCCCAAGCGAGATCAGCTATGCGTCTCGGTGCGTGATGGACAGGAGGCGAGCCTTCCCAGCCAGCAGCAGCGGTGGCTTCTTCTCCATCGGCAGACTCATGGATACGTGGATATTCTTCCTGTTCGTCGCCATTGCCGGTGAGTACTTGTCTCTCTTCGTGTCTCGTACACAGTCTTTTCTTTCCCGTGGGGATTAATCCCCGCGAGAAGTAGACCCCTGTTTCTCTCCCTTTCTTTCTCTTTCCGTCTTACGTCACAAGTGTATCGGAAAGTTGATCTTGAATTCCTGGACGTATTTGTTTGATAACGATAAGATATAACGCAAGAGAGATTTTTTTGTAAGGTGCTAGTAGTTTTTAATGATTAAGCACTTAAGTGATTCTCGCTGCAAGAGAGAAAGAAAGAGAGAGAGAGAGATTATACACGTGTGCTATACAAGTAGCTTTGATACTGATTTGATTTTCGCGCTAGACACGCGTCTACGCAAGATTGTCATAGCGCACGTACGAGAAAGGTGTGTTTACGTTTTTTATGTGTGTGGTATGGTTATGTTTACGTGATGAATCACACCATAATCAAGAGAAAGAAAGAGAAAGAAAGAGATTTATTATAGTTGCGGGTTATGTATAAAAGATTTTTATTCAAATGTCTTGCCTACATTTACGTGTAATAAATTTCTCCAAGATGGAGAAATAAAGAGATGTTATAATTTTTTCCAAGTTAGATGAAATATTTTGAAAAATGTATTTCATGAATGAATACTGCGTGTGTCCATTTCTTGGCTTATATCAATTTATTCCAATTAAATCGGTATTGTTAGAACCCGCATATATATAAGTGACACTTTTTTCAAAATTTAACTATTATATATTTTTGTATTTTTCGAATGGAATTATAATCGTAAATATATCTTAACAAAAGATTTGATTCAGATGCTTTTCGATCAACGTTTTACAATATTTTGATTATATTTTGATGAAGATATCGTAATTATATAAAATAAAATTAGCTAAAGAGATAAAATAAGATACATAAATAATTAAAAATCTTTTTGAAAAAAATTTCCAGCACACAAGTTACGTAATCTAGGAATTTTTCACACTTAATATTCATAAAAGATCCCTTATTTAAATGCGACTTTTTTGTACTATAATCTCTTAAAAACTTTTCGTACAAAAAATATACATATAATAATAACAATAAATTTACACACTGATGTCTTTCTTTCTCTTTCTTTCTTAAAACGTAGAAAACTAAATCGATTTGCTATTATTATAATTTTAAGTGGCATTTTTCCGTAACGAACGATATCGACAAGTATCGTTAACACAAATACTGCAGCGAAAAAGTCATCTTTTTTTTAATACAACGTTTAATCGTTACCCTCGGGCGTTACTCGTCTCTCGCGAAGACCAACGTGTCGAATACCTATATTATCACTTTATCTGTAATCCAAGTAAACCTGCGTAATTCGAGCTACAGCAATAATTATGTAATTTTAGAAATGATATTACCTGAATGGGACAATTATCGCTACCAATTGCCCTTTAATTGAAATTCATAGACGGAGATATTTATATAGAAATGCAGATTTTCAATAGATATAGGGAATATATTTTAACAAATATATATATATTTTTAAAGAAATATATTCCTAATAAATATAGGAATTAAACGTGGCGAAACTTCAACTCTGTTAGCACTACATAACATATTTAATAACATATAATAATATATTTAATAATATTAATGAAATTTAATAAATATATTTTTAATAATATATTTAATAATATATTTAATAATATATTTTTAATAATATATTTAATAATATATTTTTGTATTATCGAGCTTTTAAATTCTATATTCACTGCAAGTCTATTCACTGCGGAAATATTATGTAATTCACCAAAGAATTACATGTCCCTGAAATTTCTTTCCGATTTTTGCGAGGAGAAAACTCCAATTTCCCACGCGAGGAAATACGTATTATTATTATATCGCTGCTTATTTCCACTCCATTCGTCGAGCAAGTAAAAGCAATGGCTTTGTGCGCGCAACTTTTTATCCCATTGATGATTCAGAAGATATCCTTCCGAAGTCTGCACACATAAGGGCGCCTATAACACTAGGTCGTCCCACCCGTGATTCGGCGATATGCACTTGCATCTCGCTTTGTTCGACGCGTCGATACGCATTACGTATGCAGCACGTGCGGCACGCATGAGTGCGTGTACCGCTAACGCCGTCCTGAAACGCGCGTTTCATTCAAGAGAACGACTGGGAAACGTCAGGGGGGGAAGGAAAAAGAATTCCATTATCGATTCGTCGTACTTTCGGATCGTTGATCCGCGGATTTCCGGAATTTTACGACGGTTCGAGGTCGCGACTCGTTGGATGACGCGCGCCTTTTTAATCAGCTGTTTTATATTTCGAACGCGAAAAGGAGTGTTTGCAGGCGCGCGTTATGGATATTGTTACTAAGTGTGATAATAAGAATTATGAAAATTAACTGACGCGGAAAATAAGTGGAGATACAACTTGCAGCGAAAAAGTTGCATCGCGTTGTTGAGGAAACGAAGTAGTTGCACCGATAATCGAATCATGATTCCATAGAGATTGGTTTTAGTAATTACAAAGAATTTCCTCTGTTCTCGTGATATCTCTTTTCTTTTTAACGAGACGGTGTTGTAATTTGGATATTAACAAGTATCTCGCACGCGCTCTATTTATCTTCGAACTCGGAATTGCCAATTATTGCAATACAATCAATTCTAATTATGTCAAGTTACCGTTGTATATATGAAGCAATAAATACATGATATATCGGCCTTATGCCCTGGTTTTGCACGCGAGGAAATCCCGCTTTTCGCCATCGGTTCGGCTCATGCATAACTTATGCAGCCGTCATCACGAAAAGTAAGCGTACAAATATTCCCGATATTATTCAAAATCGAATAACGCAATAAGAGAGACTTCGAATAATGTATTGCTTGATCTCTTGCGCGTATATATCATTTATGGACAAGTTGATGTTATCGGATTTTTAATGTTTTTTTTTACATACAAAATCTCTTCGCAATCTCTCTCGAATTTTCTTAGAGAATGATGAAAATTTTCAAAATTGATCAAGTTTAATTATGTCATCTCAAAATATATTTTGTTGTTGGATTAATATTTATTAATTAATTAATTTATTATTTTTATTTTTTCTATAAATTTTTACTCGCGATTTTTAAATTATTCGGATTTAATAAGCGAAAAATTCGAGTTTTGTAATACATCAAATAAATCAAATATATCATGTATGTATCCATCTTGAATATTGTCGTATCAATTTTAATTTTATAACGTCTTAAATACACACACGTCTCTTTTGCTTGAAAAAGAATGTGTGTATTTTAGGAGCTCATAAATTTTTAAAAGGTTTTCCGGACGATAAATTTTGGATTTATCGTAACTTGAGCCTAGAAGGTTTTTGAGCCGCGAGAGACACGATGAGAAGATATTTTGCATAAAAAGATTGCACAAGCGGGATGCTCACATATATTGCATATGCAAATTCTTTTTTATATATTAAAGATTGATATATAACATCGTGCGATATTTTTGTCTTCTGTAGACGACAGGAAATTCTCGAGTTGAGCGATTCAATATTAAAAGACATTGAAAATGCAACGTGTCCGTATTTCAAGCATTCGCGTATTACGTAATATTCTCGCGTACTAAGGATATGAGAATACAGATAGAATACAGTCACGTCAGGAGATGTAACAAAAACATTGAGATAAAAGAAATTCCGAGCCATGTTTCCGATTACGGTGAAATTAACGGGCAATTTTACTTCGTTAAGCTGCTCGACTCGTCTTATTTTTGTCCTTTATGAGTATTTAACTGGGTCTCTCAATTGCCTTATTCGAAACTTTGATGATTATATTGACAATATATATTATTATATTTTATGCGTATTAATTTTTCGATATAATATCGTATAAGTGTATTTTAATACACGTCCAATAACTTTTATCGATTATCTCATTAGTGCACGTTTTTAAAGAGATATTTTAGTTTCGTTGAATTATACTTCGAGACCTTCATAACCATGCTTTGTGAAATATCAAGCAAAAGATTAAAAGAATCCATATTATAAATATTAATGTAACTTGACATAATAAGGAAATATCGTAAACTGAGAAAATATTTGCAGAACAGTTTCATTAACAGTTTTATCTTTTGACAGTGTGAAAGATTTTTAAAGACAGCAATATTTTCCGACGTTAAAAAGATATTGGAAACACAGAAGCACGCAAAGATCTTTGTGATAGCGTGAATATTTTATATAAATGATAGGAATTGATACAATATTAAATTAAATACTTCTTTATAAATGATAAATGATTATATAAATGATAAATTAAATACTTTTATGTGATTTTAAATGATAGGAACTGATGCACAGTATTAAATTAAAATATCTTTACATTAAAAAAAAATCACATTATTCACTTTATTTGATATGCAAACAGTTTTAATGATTTAAGAGCCCAACATTTTTTTTTCTTTTTGTGATAAATTGTAGTAAGATATAGAGTTGATCGCGGCATTACATTAAAGCCGGCATTCACGGTTTAATGCACCAATGACGCGTGTACACACACTGCGGGAAGAATGATGGTGCTGCAGAGGGGCGAGACCCCCCATAAAATAAAGTCTCGAATGGCAAGCGCCACGGTCCTGCCAGCAGTCGCAGGGAATCGCGGCATGATGCCAGATGGCCTGGCATTCTCGGTGACGTGCAGAAGAGGAATCAGGGAAGCTGCTCCCTTTGTCCATTTTCTCCTCGTTCCCTTATTCCTGTTCTGTTGGTCGGACGATAACCCAGACGGATACCACGTTTTCTGTCTCTGTTGACCATCGGCAAGTCGCAATCTTTTTCTACCGTTTCTCTCTTTCTCTTTCACTTAGTGATCTCTATCTCCTTCTATTTCCGTGCGATATCTTCTTTTCACGTTTCTCGAGTCTGCTACCGTATTTGCTCTTGTATTTCAGGAAAAAAGAGAGAGAGAGACAGAGAGAAAGAAAGAGAGAAGAGATACGAGAGACGGAAAATCATCCATTCTCTGCACTTTTCTGCGGAAAAA